TCCTGACCCAGGTGTAGGACCTTGCACTTACTAAGATAATCTGTACAATATCCTGTATACCTGTACAATATAATCTCTGGAATATCTTGCTCTCATAATTGTAGTTACTTGCAGTAACAGAAGAGCTAAAAAATGTACAGTGTTATATGTTATTCCTTTTAAGAAACCATCCCTAACAATCTCAATTTACACGTCTATGTTTTGTTAATTTTAAATTATTCTGTCCTTGACCACTTCAGAATGTGTTTTCCTACATTTAGTACTTTGTATTTTACTTAATGTTTTTCATTTCATCTTTTAATAGTAGCAACAATGTATTGTGTGGTTTTTTTCTTTTTTAATGAAATGACTCTAAGAATTTGTCTATTAAAGATATATTAATGCTCCTGAGCAAATGAGTTCCAAAGGTGCAGGAAACAGACTGCTTCCTTAGAGAATTATATTGGGTTCAGTGCTGTGTATGTGTAAGGGGAGTATGATGACACAGTAGCCATCAGTTTTATAATTCATTTGAATTCAACTATAGATGACTAAAAGTGTTTGCTCTCCAGTAGCATTCTTTTATCACTTTTGAGTAGCTACCTTTACTTTGTATTTCTTTGACAAATTAGGTGAAAATATGCAGTAATGTTGTGTATATACATGCATATATATATATATATGTGTATATGTGTGTATTTATTTCTTGATTGAAAAAGGGATTTGTCCCAAGGAGTAGTTTAGGGTTGTTTTCAATTTTAGAGATGCTAAAGTAATTGCTACTTGTTTGATGTATTTGGTAATCAAAAGTTTGGTTTTTTTTTTTTTTTTAAGAGAAATAGAAAAAGTAGTTTGTTATTTAGATGTAGTATTTTATGTGTTCTGTACCAAAAGAGTGGATGTATATTATAGAATAAAATTAACTGATCCTTTTTCTGACTGCAAAACTTATTTCCACAGAAAAAATGAAACACATCAATCTGTCATTTGCAGCTTGTGGTTTTCTGGGTATTTACCACTTGGGGGCAGCAGCTGCTTTTTACAAGCATGGTAAGAAGTTACTGAAAGATGTGAAAGCTTTTGCGGGAGCTTCTGCCGGATCACTGGCTGCCACTGTCTTATTAGCAGTACCAGAAAATATAGAGGTAAATTAATAAACTCGTAGGTATAGGACACGATAATTTTCAAGGCTATTTTTAATTTATCATCTAACATTAATTTTTTAAAAATGTTTTGGTTTTTGTTTTAATTCCTGTAAAGGAACAGGATTCGTATATATGTTTTTATAAACCAAATCTGTGACTAGTGGGCAAAAATGTTTATGAAGCAAGAAAGCCCCCTGTCATAAGTAATGTATGTTTTAGGCTATGTAAATATAAATTTAATGTGTGTGAATGTTCAGTTGTATGCAGCCAGATATACTTTAATATACCTAAATCCGTGTGCACTTAATCCCTGTGCATTACAAAGTTAATCATTGTGGTCTTGGCTAAAAGTAGATTTTTGTTACGCGAATGAATAGCACTATTCTTTCATCCTTTTGTGAAAGGAGATGAAAATGATAAATGGAGTGTATCTTCATAAAGTCAAAGAACACCACACACTGGCTCAATTTTTTTCTCTTCCCGTCGGTGCTCCATTAGACAGTGCAAGAAGTGGCTTGTGCACCTCCTTTAGACTCAGTACTATTCACAGTGTAACAGCAGTAGTCCCATTGTGTGCCAGGGAGGATTAATGATCACAGCATTTTGTTCTGATGTGCTGCATACACGTATGTTTGGGGTTTTTTCTCCATAGGTGCCACTCGTTTCTCACCGTGAATGTGGCATCATGTAGAGACAGCAAAGTTACATTTGATGACAACTCCACTACAGGTTCCATGGGAGAGCATTAGCTTGCATTTTTGTTTGGTTGGTTTTCCCTATAGGTTGTCCTCCAGAAGTACCTGTAGTGACTTGCAGAGAACTAGGCCTTGCCAAAATGCTAATATTTCTTCACTATTTTGAATTACAATAAACAGCATTAATGGGGGGGAGGGAAAGGCTGTTAGATTTTTGTCTATGTACACTTAGGTTTCAGTCCAGTGAGCATCAGGTAACTTTCTCCAGGCCTTGCTTATTACAGCTTTCACTGCATTTGATTCAAATAATAGTCCCTACTGATACCACACTTTGCCACTGATCTTTCTGTTTGTTTGTTGTTTGTTTCTTCTGGGATATGAACATAGCTTGCAGAGTTAGCTATACTTCTGTTGCTTTCATCAGTAAGTTATTTCCTGTCTTCTTTCCACCACCACACCAGGTGCATTCTTTACATGATTTGTTACTGGGCAAGTTCCATTATGTTGTGAAGAGAACCTTACTTGAATTCTGTTCAGATGTTAATAGCCTCTTACTAGTAGTTCAATTTCAAGTTTGCATTTGTTCCTAGCCTGGTCCAACTAACAAAAAATCTTTCTAAGTAAAAATATTAGAACAGGTTTTTTTAGTGATTTTTTTTTTTTTTAATGTTTGTTTTGTGCAAACTAAGCCTATATTACATTTCTTCCTAATTCTCATGGAATTTAAGTAAAGGCAGTGTTGTATACTGAATAGAATTAACTTTTCATATCAGGATAATTATATTAGTACATTCCTGAGTTAAAATATTTTATATCCACATCTTACATCACTTAATTTTTCTTTTTTTTTTTTCTTCTCTCTCCAGAGATGGCTATGTTAGACAAACTATAATTAGGACTTTCTCCGTCCTCTCCTAGTCTCAAAGCTCTAAAACAACCTTTTCTTATCTTGGAGAGAATTTTACTATTCAGGATTTCTTGTTTTGGCTGTTGCTGTTCTAATATGACAGTTTGCAAACGTTTTTCTGTCGTATTTTGGATTTTTGTCACTGTTGAAAAAGCATGGAACTTGCGAATTTTAGGGAGCCTTCTGAAGTTATAGATAAGTATGTATTTATTTCAAAAGTACCTTGATCATGTTTAGTGTCAAGTTTGCTTAACTCATTACAAGTAGTTACAATTTCCAAACCTGTTCTCAGTCACTGTTTTAAATTTAATGTATTTTTTTAAAGCTTCTAGCACTAAAACTGTAAACAGTCCATAGCTGTAAGAAGTTGTCCCTTTTGGCAGCAAGAATTGAGAGTCTAGGTATGGTTTGTTCTCAGTACTTGTAATATGGAAAGTAGTTTTCTGTCATTCACCTAGGTTTGCATTCATCCAGCTCCCTGTTACTCCATCACTTTATTAAAGCATCTTAGGTTTAAAGATAGTAGTTCTGAGGTGCTTCTCTGTAGGATTTTGTTTCCTCTGTATTTGGAGAGACTCTCCAAATGTCTGAATGTGCCTCTTTCCAGCTGACTGACTACAAAAGCCTAACTCCCTAATGTAGATTAAATTTAATACTTTGTGCATATAACTAAGTTTATATATTGGTATATGTATTTGAATTGGCCTGGAACTGGCAATGGCAAGTACCTCAGGGGTAAAGGTGCAAATCTAACTTATGTGAAATGAATTTGCGCAGATCTTTACAATGATTGTTCTTTTAAGAGGTATGGACCTTTTAATGAACTTTTTTGATACATTTATTCAAAGGCCATGTGGAGTAAGTGGATCCAAGAACTACTTTCCTGTCTTTCGTGAGTGCTCTGTCATACAAGTGATGTAACAAAGTTAAACTGCTTCAGTCAGCTTACTCCTGATCTCATATTAATCCTCACCCAAACTCTTCCCTGGTTTTCCTTCCATTAAATCCTGTACACTTCTCAGTAGGACACACTTCCCGCCCCCCACTCATGTTAGTCATTTATTTTGTTACTAGCAACATATTTGTCCTTCATGCAGGCAGGTAATAAGCCAGGAACCAAAATCTGTGTATAGACAGATCTTTTACTCTCTAAATGTGGTTATATGTGTGAATATGGGTATAATGTATTTATTGAGTACCAATATCAGAAATCTGCATAAGATTGGATTTAGAGTTTTTTTTCCCCCCAAATCATAAGAGAAGTCTTCATGAAAGGATAAAAAAAGAAAAACAAATACTGAATAGTGAGTCTTAAGCATTCTGAATCATAATCTACTGTTTCAGAATCTTATTGCTGAAAAATAAATGCTACCAATTCCTTTACTCTCACTTTGGAGTTCTTACAGCTCACACTTCAAGCTGTTTTTCTGCAGTCACTAATGTTAGGCATTTCAGCTTGTATAAAAGAGGTTTTCTGTGCAGTGGCATCTATTGTCTGGTTTTCTGCAATGCCTTTTCTTCCTATGTCATCATCCATCACAGTATTCCATTCATTAAGTACTTCCATAGTATTGTATTCAATAAATGTGTATTTGTTAGTAGCACGATTTTTGCATTAGTGAGAAGAAATTGTAATAATTGTAATATTTTACATGCTTATAGGCATCTTGTGTCTGGCTTTAGTACTGGAGTAGTCTTTAAAATAAAAGGTGGCTTCGCACTTGGAATATAAATGACCATTCTCATAATGGCATGGTTCAGAGAACTGACTATTTAGCAGTGGTAACGTATAGAAAAATAACCTTTACCTTTCTTTGATTGTTAAGGTTGTAATCTTATGAGGGATTATTATTAGTAGTATTAGTGTTACCATTATTTTTATTTGGGATCTTGTTTTCTTACAAAATAGTTCTTATAAAAGGATCAACATTTTGTTATGCATATATTATTACAAACTAAGCACATAAAGGAAAATATTTCAGTCTGATCTTACAGCTCTCTCTTGATCAAAGCTTTAGCTGCTAGTATGTTTTAGATACCACAGTTGGACATAATTCCCATAACTAAAACATCCTTAATAGTGAATATTTTTAATTTCTAGCAAAGTAAGCAGTTTGCCTATGGATTTGCAGAGGAAGTTAGAAAATTGGACTTCGGTGCTGTAACGCCTGGTTATGATTTTATGAAGACACTTAGGTACCTATCTTAATGCATCTGTAAGATCATTTATGTGTGAAGCTTTCTAAATAAAAATGGAAAGTATGCACATTTTTTCTATACTGTGGGGTGCTCAGCACTTTCTTTCACACCTAACACATTTGCAAGGTTTTAAAATGATGATGATGAGTAATGTTAAGCATTTTCGTTACTCTAGGGAAGGCATAGAGTCTATTCTTCCTCCTAATGTTCATGAGATAGCTGAGAACCGGCTTTACGTGTCAGTCACTAATACCAGAAACGGGGAAAATCACTTGGTTTCAAATTTTGCCTCCAGGGAGGACCTCATTAAGGTAATCATGTTAAATATTGCTGCTTTAAAAAAAACGCTTCAGTTTGTTCAAGACTTGGGAGAATGTTGTTAGCTGTACAATAAATCACTGCTTTACTCAAATAATTACACTATCAATGGTCCTACAACCATAACATAAACAATGGAAGCAGAATTCAATCCTACAGTTTCACAAATTTTGCTAGAATTTATTTTGGTGTGTGTGTTTCTTTAATGTTTTTAAAGTGCTACCTTGTAGCAACAGGGTAACTAATGGTTACAGTAGATGAGAATAAAAGAGACAATCTCAAAATTTTGTAACAATTTGCTGAGTCTTTTTGCATCTCTTACTTCATTGACACCATTTATACTGTATTTCATTACAAAAGAAAGTGAAGGAAAGAAAGTTAAAAAAAAATAAAATCCAGCACTTTCTATGGGTTTTTGTAGGGAACAGATGTAATGTTAAGTACCATATATAAACTGTATTTTAACTGTCACTGGAAAGCCTATCTTTTACTGCTTGTCTCTTCTTTTGGATGTCACTTTTAAAATCTGAATCAGGATTGTATACATAAGCTGATAGGAAATGGTAGGAGGAATTCAGATGCATGTAAAGCAAATGTTCTTTCTAGTAATTGATTATATCTTAGTGGAGGTTATCATAAGATATAGCAGAATAAAAGAGGAAATAGAATAAGAAGGAATTCCTTCTTTCCCTACCCTTGTGGATGCTTAGAGTAGATAAGATTTTCTTTATTATTAACACTTAAAGAAAAGAGATCATACTCATTAACAAAATCTCAATGTATGTAAATGTATGCATTGTAAAACTAATGTGTTGACGGATTACTGCTATATTATTTAATATGGATACGCATGTATGAAAATATGTATTGGTTCAGAATTACTTTTTTGCCTTTTCTTCACTTTTTTTTTTTCTTTATCCTTTCTCATTTATTTTCTCTAGGTTCTGCTAGCAAGTAGTTTTGTACCAGTATATGCAGGAATTAAGCCAGTGGAATATAAAGGAGAGGTAATTTTTCATTAAGTTTAACTACCAACTTTTTTTCTTTTTGTGAAAGAGCAGTCTTCATTTATGATGCAATTATTTGATCTTAAGGGAAGACAACTGCAGTAGTGTATTTTTTAGAATAGTTTCTGTTGATACTGTAGATTAACACCATGAAAAAGGTGACATGAGTTTGCTCATGTGTTGTTTCAAAAATTGTGGGTGCTGAGACTGAAATGGTCTGTGTGCATGAAGCTGTTTCCTAAAAGTAATGTCTTAGTAAAGATGCTTCTCATGACAAGCTCTCTTGCCAACTCTAAAATGCTTTTTGCAATTTAAAGGACCACCGATCTGCTTTTCTGTTTAATGGAAGGAATGACAAGGAAGGTCTTGGCAGATTGAACACTGCTGGAGTATGTGTGTTTATTTACATGTGGTGTTCTAATGTTCTGTACAGAATTACATGGTTACCAGATACTTTCAAATCTCTTACCTCTGGAGAAGCATTAAAGAATAAACTTCTTTCTGTTCTTGATTTATCTTCAAGAACACTTCTGTCTTTCTTACATAAATATATTAATACTTCAAGAATAATTTTGATTGTTTAGTATGTTTGTAATAACTAGAAGCATGTAAATAGCCATTTCTTTCTTTCTGAGAAATACTACATGATACTTTTCCCTTTACTTCCTCATAAGTATCCAAATGATGTCTTTAGAACATCTATAACCCTCACAGCAACCCTAAAAAAAAAAACAAACCCCAAAACATCAAAACAAAAAAAAAACAAAAAAAAACCAACCCAACCCCCAAAAAAAGTCCAAACAAACAACCTACAAAACAATATGTGTTTGTCTGTAGCAAGAAGGAATTGGAGTTCATTATGTCAAAAAGCTTGCCAGGTTTAGAATTATGTATGCAGCAATACATACCAGCTAAAATGTTTGAAGGATATAAATCAATATTTCCTGACAACTTGAGTTAGAGACTGCTTGCAGCTTCCCAGGATCTGGAAATTTTGATGATTGGAGTCTTTATATGTTGCTTGTGCAGTTTGATGGGCATGCATGGATGTTTAGGTTCATTCTGCCATTAGTTAAAGGGAAGAAATGTCATTGTTAAATTTCTTGTGTTGTTCTTTCAGTAAAGAAATTGCAGAGTTGCTTCAGAGTTTTGTCCAAAGCTTATTTAAAACTCATTTGATTGGATGAGCTCTGCTATTATGATTTGCAGGGGTATTGTAGTATTTACTGAAACACCTGCAGCTTCTTCTTCTTCCTAGTGGACAGTTCTGATTCCTACCTAACTTAATTCTGTGCATTCAAAAGTGAAATCAATGCATGTTTTTCACAGAACTGGTTATTCTGTAACTTAAAAGCTTGTTGTCATTCCCAAAGCTTCTTACTACTCTCCTTAAGTGAGATTCAGAAAAGGCAGTTTCTGGGAATGAGGTTGCTTTCATTTATTGTTACTTGTTGGAAGTGATTAGTTCTGCATGTCTGCACTGACTTTTCTCATACTCTGTAAAACGGTGCAGTTGTGGTTTGTGGCTTCCATTCTCTTAGTCCACAGCACTTGGAGCAGGGTGAGAACAAAAACCCCGGGATCTCTCTTGCAATAGGATTTCCTTGGTTTGGAATAGTTGGTAATGAGTTTATGTGGGTGGGTAATAGAGGCCCTAAAGTATTCAGTGCAGAGCCAGATATGTGACATGTAGCCTCATGATGCAGATATTGTAAGCACTGAAATCAGTAAGATGGATTGAATATTGATGTGACTCTGTGAGGCCATCTGTCATATTAACATATTTCAAGTTTCATGGAAGCTGTACTGTAACAGACCAATGTTCTGTCTCTCTGCATTTACACTAGTTTCAAGTATTAAATTCCTTAGGCCATGTGTTCCAGGGCAGCATGGAGTCTACAGGCCTTATATGTGCTTCAGAACAGTTAATATGCATCTTCTCTGTGCTGTATATGTCACGTGCGTACATATCTCTAGGTCATCTGGGAGTATTTTTAAAATGTATTTCAGTATGGTATTCTAGGTACATGATGCATGATAAGTAAGGGAGTATGGTGCACTTTTGCTGGAATAGTATCAGAAAATAGACAGATCTGTTCCTAGCCTGTCCCTACAGCCTGTGGAGAATGAACCCTAGGATAAACTGTTCATAGCCATTTTTTGTTTAGGAAGAACACTTTTTGGAAAGCATTTGGCTCACGCTGAAATGGAATTTGGCTGTGGTCCCTGTAAAGATCAGGCTTGTGCCCCTGGACTGCCTTTAGAACCACAAAATATCACAGAATCCTAATATGCTTTGGGTTGGAAGGGACCTTAAAGATCATCTAGTTCCAAGCTCCCTGCCATGGTCAGGGACAGCTCCCACTAGACCATGTTACTCAAAGCCACATCCAGCCTGGCCTTGAACAGTTCCAGGGATGGAGCAGCTACAGCTTCTCTGGGCAACCTGTCTAGTGTCTCACCACCCTCATAGTGAGGAATTTCTTCCTAATATCTCGTGTAAATCTGCCCTCTTTCAGTTTAAAGCTGTTACCCCTTGTCCTATCAGTACTTGCTCATATAAAAAGTCCCTCTCCAGATTAATTGTAGCTAAAGCTACTGGAAAGCTGCTCTAAGGTTTCCCCTGAGCCTTCTCTTCTTCAGGCCGAACAACCCCAACTCTCTCAGCCTGCCTGCAAGGAAAGGTGCTCCAGCCCTTTGATCTTCATGGCCCTCCTCTGGGCTTGCTTGAGCAGGTCCATGTCTCTCTTGTGTTGGGGGCCCCAGAGCTGAATCCAGTACTGCAAGTGGGGTCTCACAAAAGTGGAAAAGAGTAGGAGAATAACCTTCCTCAACCTGCTGGTCACACTCCTTTTGATGCGGCCCATGACACGTTTGGCTTTCTGGGCTGCAAGCATACGCTGCCATCTCACGTTGAGCTTCTTGTCAACAAGTATCCCCAAATCTTTCATACGTGGGGCTCTGCAAGGAATCAGTTGGTTGCTTTTGTTTTTCTTCCTCATTCTTTCCTATACTCAACTTCTTTAGCAGACTTGTTATCTGCTCCCCCTTATGTGCCATAGTTGTTCAGCTCTTTTCCACCTTTACCTTCCACTTTCCAGCTGTTGCTGTCTTCTGTTGTGCATGTAAGAACACAAGAGGTTCTGGGAGAAGAAGAGAGGAGTCATGTTTGGTTTAGCTTCTACAGTCACTTTACTTGAACATACAGGTTGTCCAGCTCCTAGTTTGAATCAGAGTAATGTTTTAGAGGAGTAGACATTATCTGTTATGTTTCATGTGTAATATTATGATCTGATATTTTCATGTATGTGTTGCAAACAATACTGCCTAGGGCATTTTCTTATTAGATTAACAAGCCTTATCAGAAGCTTGATAAATATATTACATATTTACACATGTCAAATGCTCATTGATGAAACAGTCTGTGTGTAGTTTGTCAGTTTTTTGATTTTTATGTCTTATACTCAAGTTATTCATGGTATTCAGAGAAGGAATCTTATAAGTTTTCTTGAGGGTGGGATGGAGGAGGGACAGGAAGAATGAAGTATTCAGTTATGATCATACTGTATCTACTAAGGTTACTTTTAAAATATTTCTGTTTCCCAGCAGAATTGGGTCGATGGTGGCATTACCAATGGCCTTCCTATATTGCCTTTTGGAAGAACTGTGACAATTTCTCCTTTCAGTGGTCGTTTAGATATCTGTCCACAAGATAAAGGACGTGTGGATCTTTATATTAAATATGCAAAACAAGATATAATGGTGAGTTGCTTGTTTGTGAAATAAATTCAGAAGAAGAAAATGTTCTTGTGCTATGCTTATTTTTAAGTGTCCGTTTTGTGCCTATATATCATGAGTAATATTTTGGCATTTTGTGCATTGCAGATGGAGGGTAAACTTTTTCTTAAATGCAAGGGAAGGAAATTGTAGAATAAAGAAGATAGGAAAACACTGGTTTAGTACAAAATTGAGCAAATTATCACAGGCTATTAAATGTAAATAATCTAGGCTTGCTTTAAGTATCATCTGTCTTTGTCTAGGTAGGGTATTTATAGGGAAAAAAAATGAATAAATAAAGACTTCTTTAGAATACCTCAGAGAGGGAAACACCAGAACAGCCCTTCATGCTTATTGAAATCAACTGCTCTAACTGACTTTGAAATACAAGTTTAAGTTGTACATTTGAAATGATGTGTAATGACTTGTCACCTTATTGCTCAGGAAAGCTTGTGAACATTTGTCACCACAGTGCTTTTATACTGAAATATAGGCTAAGACCGATTTTATGCCCTCCTTTTCATCATTGACATTTCTGTCTTTGCAAGCTTCTTCTCACAAACTTTAACCACAGTATTGCTTCCTTTGGCAAGATGAAAGAAAAAGCATTGAATAGCGGTAGACCTATCTGTCGTCAAAATTCCATTAGAAAGAAAAATAAAGATTAACAGTAATTGGTACATTTTTTTTTCCTTTTTGGTTTCTTTTAGACAGTTCTTACTGTGTTTTCTTAATGTGAGTAAAATTAGTATTATGTTATACCAAAATGGAGCAATTTCTGAGTTTTTATAATGTTTCACAGAGATTTAAAGCATGACAATACTTGGTAAATGATCATAAAGTATGAGATTATTGATTTCATGTATTGAAATTACACGCAATCGCTTACTGTTTTTTTCTTAGTCATGATTTGTACCTAAAATCTAGTGCATCTGGAGGAAGAAACATGAGCTTGTGATGAGATTCTTTTAGAGACAGAAAATTAATTGCAGATTTTCATTGGTTCTGCAGGTGCAGACTTCTGCAGAAACTTGGGCAACATTTTAAACTGTTCCATTTGGAGCACCTTTAGCTTTTAGAGCTGTAAAAATGTTCACTAAGAATTTTTTTTTATTTTTTTTTCAGCGATGTAATCTACTTAAAATGAAGAGTTGTGTATTTTCATTTCTCTATACTGGAATGTACACAGTTTTGTGTCTCCTCACACCTCCTCCATCTATTAGTGTCAGAATTTGCATAATTGCTTACTTCAAATAGTGAAGATTATTTTGATATTGTTTTGGAAAATTGTGCATAATAGTCTGCAGCTAAAGTATTAATAAATTAAGTGAACATTAGTTTTAATTTTCTTGTAAACAGTAATGTCTGTACTTAAGAACAAAGTTATGAAATCTTCTTACACCATCAAAGTGACCACTTGAGATGATGGGTAATTCTTAATTTGTTGCTAATACAAGCTACATTTATACACATATGTTAAACATTGCCTGGGAATGTTCCCAAGAGTGTGGTTGTTTGCACTAGTAAGCTGTCAAAATATTTCCTTGCACAAGTTTAGCATGTGCCAGGACCACTCTGCCAGACACTTCTGGGAATGATTCCAAAGTCAAAATGTTTCAGAAACTTTGAGCAGTTTTACAGGCATACAGTCTGTCTTGGATGCTGTGAGTTTACTAGTGTATATGGAGACCTTTAGTGCCAGTTTGTCTTGGTGCTCAGCAGTATATCTGGACATGGTTAATTTGCTAGCATAGTCATAGCCATGCTGGACTTTGGTTTTTACATATGCTACATGAAACAGATGACAGAACAGATAGCAACATAGTCAAGTCTAGATAAGTTGCTTTAATAAACTAATTTATAACTTCTCACTCTGTTGCAGCTGTCTCTGGCCAACCTAGTAAGACTTAATCAAGCTTTTTTCCCACCAAACCAGGAGAAAATGGAATCGTTGTACCAAAATGGATTTGATGATGCTGTTCATTTTTTAATGAAAGAAAACTGGTTTGAGTAGATGGAATGCAGAAAATTAACAAAACCTGATGGCTGTCAAAACAGTTCCTACAGAACCTCAGGGATTGCTGTCCCAAATCCCGTTTGTGAAAATAAAAAATCACAATGGCACTGCTTCTGATTCTGCTGAGAAAGTATCAGTTGCATTCCAAAGATCTGTGTAAACGTGTCAGAACGGGGAATTGTACTTGCCTGGTAGTTGTCTTGTTTTGAAGAGATTCAAGCTTGGATCCATTTTGCTTCATCTGAGGACTTGAGTGTGGGAAAGCCTTTTTCAGTGTTATTTCAGAGACAAATCAACATTGTACCGTGAAAAATTACAATCTATATTGTTCACTTGATGTAATAGTTGCGCATGCTAATTACATGCTTGCAGTATTGCTGATCCAGTACATACTTTTTGCAATGTTCTAAAGGACTTGAACGCTTAGCACTAGCCAGAAGAAATAAAACACTTGCACTTTAACTCTGTATATTTTTTAACATTAAAAGTTATTTCCTTTTTCAGTGAATGTGGTCTTCTAAAATTTGAAATACTAGTTGAAATTTATAACAGAAGTGTGATGTTCGAACATAAAAAATCTTGTAAAAAAGAGTCTAAGAAATTGTTATTTATTATGTTTTCTTCCTCTGCTAAAATTGAATAAATATATTTTCTTGAAGCTTTTGTCAAGAGTTCATTTATAAATTTCTTTGAATGCTGTAACAATCCGATTATCTGAAAAAGAAAACCTCCCAACCAAGCCCTTATATTGGAGTGAACCGATTCAGCAAGTAATGAACTCAGACTCATATATCTTGTTTACCATTCACCTTGCAAGTTCAGGATTTTCAGTCTTAATGCCTTAATGCTAAAATCCACAACTGTTTATTTAAAAGCAAACTGTTTGCTTTTTAAGTGTGCTTTTTAAGTTTATTTCTTAATACCTAAAGAGATTGAATTAAACATGTATGAAATTACAGAATTCCTCCAAAAGAAAATCTGTGGAGTTGAGAAATAAGATTACAAAAAGAAAATCTGTTAGAGTTGTTTGAAAGCCTCTTCAGCACATAACCACTGTATTTATATGTAGATTGCGTCAGATTAGGATTCATGTGGTGGGTACCAAATCCTTTTGTTACTGTTTTTGATAATGAAAAAATAAGGAAAAAACCCCAACACTGATACAAAGAACCTTCATTTCACTTTAGAACAGCAAATCTTTCTCACAGCATGAGGGTCTTTATATGGTGAAAACACTGTAGCTTGCATGATTTCCAGATATGTAGGACAGCATTTTCCATGTAAAACTGAAATAAGGTACCTTTGTGCTACCAAGGTACCTGTGCCTGGCTCACTTGCATACTCATTTATACAGAGGATAATGTTCAGCATGAATAAAAATATGAAATAATACTGTTAAGAAATTCTCTTCTTTCACACTGATCTGCTATGGTCTGTGTCTCTGATTCAATGGTAATACCTGTTTTGACATTCTGGTGGAGACTTGAAACAGCTCTTTTCACTTTGTGTTCTGGAGGCTTGGAGCTACTGACTGGCTTTCAGGAACAGTGTCTATCTTCTGACCTGTTTCCTTTCTGAGCAATAATGGCACCATACATATTTAGTGAGCCTGTACAAAGCTTGTTTATCTGGATGTAGGTTTTTAATACATGCTTTTAAAGGAGAAGGTTATTAAATGCAAAGTTCATTTGTTGTTGATGCATGTAGCTTTTCAGCTTTGACACTTGTCATAGTTTGCAATGCTCGTTAACCCATAAAAATCTGACTTTTTTCAGCATATATTAATGTCATCCACAAGAACATAAGCCCTATCGTGTTTACTGAGCCGTAAGAGCCACAGGTAATGTTGTGTGCTTCAGAAATTGACCTTCATAAGTTTATAATAGGATGATACAAGGTGTTTCAGGAATAAAATCATATTAACGCAGACAGTGGAAGTGTTCACTATGGTAAAGTGGTTTTTTTTTTTTTTAGTGTTGGAGCATGAAAGTTCAATGAGAACAAAATATTCAGTCACAGCACTGGTGTACAGATTGGCTACTGTTGCACACATAGCAAGACTTCAGATTTCTCAGTTACCACTTGTTTATAAATGTGTTTTGATTGTGTATGACCTACCCAAAGCCTATTTTCTCGAAGTTGTTCAGCTGGTCCTAATGAAGCATAGGAAAGCACATTCAGAAATGCATTATTTTCAGCCAACTATGTTTAAATCCATGTTGCTTGTGTGAAAAAATAACTTGTTTAGAAAGGGGGATATTTCATGATCGATTAGCATATTTGGAAAATATCAGCCAAAGGTAATTCAGGATGATCGTCACAGTCTCTTTGTTTCATGGAAGAAGCCAAGGCTGCTACTAAGCATTCAGGTTTTGGAAATAACACCCATTTTATTTTCTCTTTCCCCCAATCCTTCCACTGTATCACCTTGAAAATATCAGGTGTAAAGTTTAAAGAAAACCCTTTTTTTTCTAATAAAAGTAGCACTTTTAGAATAGAGACATAATCTTGTTAAAGGTAAGTCTGTTTGCTTCCTGGTTTAGTCTTGCTGACTGTCTGAATTGGTTGTGATTTCTTCCTATTTATCTTTGTAAACTTCTAAGCCTCCTAATTCAGTTCGTGTTTAGGCCTGTATTTACTGACTCAGTATTGCAATGTTTGAGCTTGGACAGAACTTTATTTTTACAATCTCTTAACTTTTAAGTGCATTTCCCATATCTGAATGGTGTGGGGAATGTTTCTGGTTCTACAGCACGTATGTGCCGTTCACTTTTGCTGCACAAATGAGTAACCAAGGCATGTTTGCAAAGGTGGCTTCTAGGTTAGGAAGGCCAACAAGTACCTTTACTAATGTCAGTCTGTTTCATGGGAAAAGATCTGATTTGTTTTAGTCTCCTGAATATTTTCATCTGTATTAGTATTAATCCTATCCATATGCCATTCCAGCTTTCCTAGTTGGAATATATATGGCTGCACTTGTTCCTAACAAAAAAAAAAAAAAAAACAAAACCAAAAAAAAGCACACCAAACACCAGAAAAAAAATCTCTGCTATGTATAGTTTTACTGGGGAGTTACACTTGTACATTTTGGTTGGTCAAAAATATTTCTATTTAGAAGTGAAACTGAAATCTATCAAGGTCAGAGCATGTTTTCTATTAAGAGTAGTCATATTCTTCAAGAAGTGAGTATTAACCTTTCTGAATGGATGAAGTTCAGGGGTTTTTAGCACATTGGTCTAGATCTTTCCAGGCTAATTATGCTGACTAATAGCTGGAATTTTCTGTTAGAACATCATAAATCAGTTCTACTGAAAGGATCTTGGCCAGCTTGTTTAAGTTTTTCACAAAAGCCTAAGGTAGTCCTCTTTCAAAAACTCCTTGATACATGGAGTTGAAAATTGGTTGATGATCTCTTTTCTCAAAACAAAATATGAATGTATAATTTTAAGAATACTTCTTAAGTAGATTCTGTTGTTATTTTTCTCTTAGCAGTGCTTTAGGTGTAATCCTATGGCTGGAAGCAGAACCTTGTCAGAGTTTCATCTCCTGGACTTGCCACACAAATAGGCTGCATAACTGTTTTTTAGTAAAACAGGAATAATCTAAAAAAGGCTGAAGCAAAATAAACTTGCTGAAGCTCATACCTACTCTGTACTATGATGCTGTTGAAAAGTGATTGCAGTGAAGATAATTGCAAAAAATAATTTATTTTTAAGAAGTGCCTTTTCTGCTGAAACATTTCTAGCTATGCTGGCTGTGTTGCCTGGGAGACCACTGGGTTTTTTTTGCTTTTTTCAAACTCAGGCTTCACAAATTCTTTTGAAAATCATTAGTACAGACACAGGAAGACAAGATATAGGATAAGGTAGTATTTTATCCTGAGGATGAACATATTTTTATGCTAAAGGACAATGTTAATATATCTGTTCTGGCATTACTACTTGAGATTGTTAAGGATATGCTAAGGTATTTTTTTTCTTATTTAGATATTCCATACAGAATTATATTTAAACAGGCAAGATATACAAATCCTAAGATGATGCTATGTGCTCTAGCTGCCTTATCGTCCTTGTGGCTTTCCTCTGGACTTGCTCCAACAGTTCCATGTCCTTATGTTGAGGACACCAAAACTGTACACAGTACTCCAAGTGGGGTCTCATGAGAGCAGAGTAGAGGGGCAGGATCATCTCCTTCAACCTGCTGGTCACACTTCTGATGCAGCCCAGCAGACAGCTGGCTTCCTGGGCTGTGGGTGAATGCTCATGCCAGTCATTAACTTGAGGTTCTGGTTTCAAGTCATTTGGAAGAAGACATAATCCAGAGGGACCTGGACAAGGTGGATAATTGAGCTGGAAAAATGTCATCAAGGTCAACAAAGGGATATGCAAGTTCCTGCTTTCCTAAGAAGGACCTAGGGGATACTGGGGTAAAGCAAACAGACCATGAGCCAGCCATGTGCCTTCTGGGAAAGGTTTCCTGCCCTGCATTAGGCAGAGCATTGCCAGCAGTTCAAAGGTGGTGATCCTTTGTCTCTACTCAGCAGAGACTAGAACGCATCTGGAGTCCAGTTCTGGGTTCCACAGGATGAGGCAAGTTGCTCACTGGAGTGAGTCCACTGCAGGTTCACAAAGCAGTGGATGACTAATGACTGGAACATCTGATGTGTGAGAGGCTGAGAGAGCTGGGACTGTGCAGCCTAGAGAAGAGAAGGCTTAGAGGGATCTTACCAAATTGTATAAATATCTGGGACAGAATGAAGGAGATGGAGCCAGGTTCTTTTCAGTGTCCAGGGACAGGGACAAGAGGCAATGGGCATGACCTGAAACCCAGAAAGATGTTCAGATGGAGGGTCCATCTGAACATCAGGAAACACTTTAATGTGAAAGTGACCAAGCACTGGGACAGGTTGCCTGGAGAGGTTGTGGAGCCTCCCTCCATGGGGGTATTTAAAAGCTGTCTGGACATGGTCCTAGGCAACCAGCTCTATCTTACCCTGCTTGAGTAGGGGCTTTAGAATATATGATCTGCAGAGGTCCTATCTAACCAACGTTTCTGTAATTCCTTGATCTACTGTAGGTGCAACGTTTCATGTAAATATTAATGTTCTTAACACTACAATGTACACTTAAAGTATGAATTGAAAAAATTGGTATTTCATGTCTAATACTAAGAATTGTTTCTGTTCTAGACTCATTCTGAATTCAACCCTGATATTTTATTCTGTGCTAGGCTGCCACAAAAATCCATGACCTTGCTGACTG